AAAATAGTAAATCACATTTAAGTTAGGTAAAGCTATACCTTAACATAAAAATACACAATGTATAGAACACTCGTAATTTTCTTTAGGGAAAACTGAGCTGTTAGCCTGCATTATAAAGTATCGATCCGCTCAACAACTTCGTTCTTAGAGAAAGGACTCAGCACTGACGACATCGAACGATAAGTTCTCCTTTCTGTATGAAGTATTTGCAAAGCTTTTGTTTCATGCGTTGACCTTCTGGTTCAATTTCTTTTGAATCTTTTTTCAAAGGAGACGAAGAAATAATTATTGCCAGTCGTGTTAGGAATTTTGAAGGAAGGAAACAGATCTATGTGAGAGAATGAAAATGATGAGATGCGAAACGACATATCAATGCCACTTCAAGCGAGGGATTAACATGACGAGAAGTCAAGCTAATCGAACGTAAACAACGATAAGTCGTACGCTACTAGATAAGCTCAGTTAACTTTACCTGTACCGTACGGTAGCGATAACCTCAGACAAAACATCCGACGCCATTGGCGTCGGAGCATTAGACATCTCCTGGCAAAAAGTGTGATGGTATTGAGAGAAAGGCGGGTATGGAAAGCAAGCGAAGAATCCGGAATGAACAAAAAAGTAAAATGGATTTAAATATCATCCTCGCCATAATGCTGCGTAGGATGAGACTTGTTCGAGTATGCGGCTCGTTCACTCACTCAAAGAAGCAGATATGCTTATAAATGCGAGTACTCAGTGACAAATGCCCAACCAAGAGGGTTGTCGAGTTTGATGAGAGGTTTAGTACTCCCCAAGAGATTATTGTACGAGACAAAAGAAAACATTCAAGATGTTCCACCTATCTGCTCTAATAAATATCAATATAAAAAGAAATCAATATTTCTTTTTCAAAATAGCTCATGCTATAAACTTGAGTCCCATACAATATATGCTTTATATGATAGCGCTTATCGTATAGTAGTTATCGTGTGTGAAGTTGGTGAAGCTTAAACCGAAGAGTGAGACAACACGAACATAAACAGGCTTATTTGATGCAGAGCGTAACCCGATCAAAACGTAATCGGGCTTCTGTGATCTATTTAAGTAGTAACTTGTACAGAACCTGGGACAGCGTAAGATTTACTGTTGACCCTTCCACGACTCGTTTACGGTGCCACCACAACGGCGGAGGAGTGTTGATATTCGTAGTTGAACAAATAGTAGGTTTGAATAGAATAAACCGATTTTCATTTTATGACACAGCAGATCTGCAGCATTTTTTAATGCTGAGTGACATTGGCAGGTCGAGGGTGAAGGAATAGGCACATAAATCCTGCGGTGAGTAACAGGACAAACTTATATTTCAAAATTTAACATTCGCCAAGTCTATGCAATGGTCAACGTATTCACTTGTAAACATATTCCGAATTATCCCTGAAGCTGTGCCGTTCCCGAATCGCAACTCCACTCAGACTACATCTTACCAGTTCTATGGTAGACTGCTTGTTCCTTACTCAATGAAAGTGAAGAATCATATATTTGGCTTTCGCGAGCTAATCACTGGAAGTATTCCATTATAAGTTATTTAAAGGTGCTATTAAACGTCATTTTATTCGTTTCGAGCTACAAGATGCGATAGTTTGCAGAAGTCAGAGGTTGCAACACCCTTTCTTTCGCTCCGCATATCCACCCTAAGTTATAATTAGGGTGCATGTAAACAATCAGTATTGTTTAGTGAAATATAATAATGTGTTATTATTCGAGGGTGAAAAAATAACGCTTGACACACAACTAGATTTAGGATTATGTGTATTTTGTCAGAAGCAGATCTAGCAATGTTGATAACTCATTTACATAGACGTTCACTGGCGATGTGTTTTGCTTAAGGACGTACAGCTCAAGAGCTATGAAAGCCTAGTTAAAACATCCGTAGCGCGTACCGTCTGAATCAAGATCCATTCTCTCGAAAAGACAATTTCCTTGGGGCTTTAATTTACTTGGATCGTTGGAGATAACGATAGATACAACCCCATTTGCTTAGCCCAGCTATCAGTCTATGTCTAATCGATATGTTTGCGGAGTACCTATGACCAGTTCGTATGCATCCGATTTGCGTTCTTTTTTTTACCAAAATATAAGATATGTAAACAATATTTGAATATTCTATTATTCGTCCTTAGCACAAGTCAGTTGAAGGAAACTAGCGGGGCTATAGCAGTAGACTAGTTCGAAGGAGGTTCGTATTGGTCGGAATAGGAACGCTGTCATACTGGAGGCAAGTAATGGGTCGAGTTTTCAGAGTGCGATACCATAGGAACTCGAACGGGGTCTACTTTTTAACCTAATCTCATCCCCCTTCAGGACGTACCAGCCCACTTCCGCAAAAGTCCGTCAACGAAGTCCGGTTACGGTACGGTACGGACTGCAAAGGAGTCTGCCACTGTACCGTGTGCCCTGGGGCAAGGGTTCGTCCACTTTCTGACCAACTTCTCCTTTCGGCTGGACCAACCTTGAGCTCACTTCAGGGCCTTGGATATTTCGCATCGTGGCCATGTTATTCCGCTTGGCCAGAATCTGGATCGTCCCGATATCAAACTATCTGGATAAATCTAGTTCGAAACTTGGATCGCTTAGCTGAACATACGCAGAGATGCATCACGTCCCACAATTATATATGTTGTCCAGAGAGCCATTTGTTCACAATAGTCCTTTTGCAACCTCTGTGTAGCTGGCCAACGGCGAAACGGTCCGTCAAACAATCCGACAAATCTAGTTAAATTCCTACTTTTTTAAGGCATGATCAAGCAATCTCAGGTTTTTCACGGTTTAAAGTTTATTTTATATACCAAATGATAAAGTGCTTATGGTTTATGATTTTAAATAAGAAACTCGATGTCGATACGTAATGTGTGTGTTGAACATTTTAGAGGAACAAAGGTTTTGTCGACGCGCTTCATTTGTAGTACCGTTACCGCTCGACACAGATGTTAACCAAGCAACTTCTCTCGTTCTATATGAGTAAGTGTTTTCTCCTTCATTCCCATATTTCCGTTTGTGTTTGCCCTTGCGGATTCTTCCCTTAAGGGACAATTTCAAATCTTATATATATTAGAGACAATCCTCTTACATTAGTTATTTTCAAAAAAGAAAAATTTTCTTTACTTCACTCTGATCTTTGAAATAGTTAAAGACTGCAGAATAATCAAGCAATATGTTGACTCTGTGGCAGAGCGGCGAGGACGATGAGAAATAGAGGACCGGTTTACACATCGAATTGGCTTAATACACTTCGATTTGTAATATGCCGTACACGCGTCTGGACAATGAGCTGTGTAAGAAAGAGTTTTTCAGTCGAATTTTCATTTGTTTATGTCTCGAGGTGTCTTAGCCCATGTAGAGTGTAACCCAACGCACCCCCAAAGCTTGTTTAATCTAGTTAATTGACGTTAACGGGGAGGTAACCATCGCTTGCGAAGTTCTACGCAAATATTGAAAGCTTACGATAATAGTGTGCAGGTAAAATGAGGAATAGCATGACCAAAATATTCCAAATGCTGAATAAGGCCTAGCTAGTAGATAGTTGACTTCCTTGATATCTCTACGTTAGCATTAAGCGTGCCAATCATAGAATCGTTCATTAAACGGCACTAAAATGTATCTTTCCCATATTGTTAATGCTTAGAGAACACGTTTACCCATAACGGTAGCATAGTTCTGCTGTACACTAAATGTTTATAAATACTAGACATTATACAAGCAGGGAATCATTTAATGTTTGCCTGCCTGAAGCCGTTACTTCGATCGCATAATCTCTTTGCGCAGTGTCTGGGTTATGAGATGACGTGGGTGACCGTTAGATGGCTCAATTTTTATAATTAGCGATTTGGTACTTCTCTTAGTTAATTAATGCGAGAAGATCGTAGGTTAGCCGAAGTAGAGGTCACACGTGGTAGCACTTATTTCGCGGCACCAAGATCAGTAGAGGTGGCTTAAAATTGGGTACCAGAATTCTATCGCATTTAATCTGCATAGTCCTCCATAGCTGAAGTTATTCTTTAGAAGTTACGATATGGATACACATGCCAAACGTGTAATACCGGTGCAAAACAAAGAGGCGTTTAAAGTATTCATGTAGGTTTTGATAGACAATGTTTTAGAATATCTTATGTGGAACGACGGACAGCCCAACAAAATCTTCGCCTCATGCAGTGATCCCTTAAGGCGACGGCTGGTGCAAATGATGTATGATGAAGAACCTTCGACTTTTTCAAGTTGAGAGTAATAAAATATTGCTGATTTATTGTTTTTAGGTAGTGAACGATCTGCTGTGATGGTTACTAAGCTATAGAACATGCGATCATTCATACTCTTCACGGATATTTATTTTTAGATTCTGCCAATCATGCAGGAGATCAGGTGAAAAGAGGTTTGAGCTTTTTAATAAAATAGGTGGAGACTAATAGAATATCCTGCCATCTTGATATGGTTTATTGCTATCAAATTAAGTCTGCTATGACTATGTACCATGACTTCAAATATGTGAAACAAAGGACCTGCTCACTCAGAATTACAATAATCTCTTAGGCTACCAAAGGCATCGAGGGTACGCCTAACGTTATCGTCCTTACAACAACGCAAATACAATTTTTGCCTTAAAATCGTTTGCATTTATAAAAATAAATATTCTGCTTTCCTTTAGGAAAAATTTATTTAGGAATATATTTAGAAAAAAATTTAGGCATACTTTTTTCGAAAAACGTTAACAGGCCCAAGATTCGGATATACTGGGCATAACAAAAAATTGAATAAACGACAAACTGTTATGCAATCTGTTTGCTCATTGATAATTTGTAGTAAAAAAAATCATAATATCTACTTCGAACTAGTTTCACAGATGACTTGGCATGGCCTCATCACTTCAGTCTGAATCGTGTGTACTGACGCACTGTGCGCTCCGACCCCGTGTAAATTTCTACGCATCGATAACACCACCGCGTGGGGAAGAATATGCCAAAAAAAAAAAAAAAAAAAAGAAAAGTTCGTTTTTTATACGATGTTTGTCATCGAGTGCTTTTTCAGGTCCTTTGCACAGTCATGGCAGGGGATAAACTCGTCGCAGTCAGCTATACCAGACACTTCTAGCCCTTTCGGCCTGCAAGAGGAATCGGCAACGAATAGCTATGCTAGGAAAACGAGGTAATAATCGCATTTTTATTTAGGCCGGGACAAGAATGGGGCATCATTTGCCCTTGCGTCTGCTTTCTCGCATATCCCTTTATAGATTCTCGGTTAATATAAAAATGGTAAGGCTTGCCACCATGTGCAACTAATATCTTTAGCTAGCGACCAGCTTCTGTGGTCACAACAGTCTCCTGACCGTTGATGTGCTGTCTTTATTCCGTAACTGAATATCAGTCGCCTGTCGTTGTTAGCTCCACACAATCACACCACTTTTCCTGTCATTCACTGAACCTGCTATTATTCTATGCAAAAATAGTTTGAATAAAGCTTTAGACTTTGCAGGGGGTAATAACACAGCCAAGAGAACTACGAGTGATTTCTACCATAGTGATTTTAACGATGCCACTATTGGACTGGTCTTACGATCGCTATATACACACTTTCTCACACAAATGAAATACGTCATCCTTTAACTTTGTGTTTTTGATAAGTGTTTTTAACACTTGCGTCTTTTCAGAGAACAAGTTGGAAGAAAATAGGAATCTAAAAGATCTAGTACAGATATTCGTGCGCCGGTTCGATGTACGGCGGCGTCAGAGGCCACAGCGATAATGGGGGGTGCGTCCAGTATTAGCCGATAATTCTCGACCTTCATCAAGATAGTGTCGTCTGTATTCCCCCGTCGTATCCCCCTGCTGCTATCCCCACATCCTCTAGATTCCCTTTCGACGACTTCTCCTCTTCAAGCGTCTGGATATTGGAGCACTCTGCCAGGGTGGCCGTGGGCTGCGTCCGAAGAGATCGACCTCTTCGACCGAAGCAGGATAGATGTTGTACTGATTGTTAATTGAACAAACAGGATCCTGTGCAGAAATGGGGATAAACTCAGAGCCGATGACGTCTGGCTTGGCCTGCTTGGACGCAACGATCGAACCGACATCAGGATAATCATGGTGGTGGTCTTCAAGAGTTGCTGCCGGGAGAAACCTTGTTCGTCAGTGACTTCCACGATCGACGGCCTGAGAGAGCAGCCGTAGGCTAGGTTGTAGCAACGCTGGCCTGTAGCAGTAACGATAGACGAAGATCTTAAGTCACCGGAACAGGTGGGTCAGGAATCTTTTTGTGCCAGAGCGACAAGGAAGTACGGTCATACTGCGCGGTCAAGAGCGAACGAAAGGCAAGGGCGGACGGAGCAAAAAAGAGTGACGGACGAGTTCTGCTAATCGCTCCAACGTATCGCGGTAAGCCGCGCGCCACCAAGGTAGAGGTCGGTCGAGGTGGCAAGAATGAAAAAAGCTACATTTATTTATTTCTTATTTTAGAATCATTTATACATTTATTTAGAATTATTACGCGGAGAACGTGCTAGTGGCCTAATCTAAGCTATATGTTAGAAACGTTCGGTTGACAGAGTAATCGGTGACGGAAATATGATTGACCGAAATTACATCGCAGTATAGTCACATGTTTTGTTTGTTTGTAGATGTAAATGCATGGACTTATTGGCTAGCTGTAGCGGTACTTTGGAGGAGGGGGCAGTAAGTACAACAAAACACGGATCAAAGACAAAAAAAGTAAGTAAACCTAAAATGCAACCAAATAACGAGTACTTAAACGAAGCTATGTCCTGAGTTTGATGTCAGAATATGGCATAATTTATTTTTATCCTTACATCCTTTACAACAAAATCGGGCACTGCGATGGGGAGCACATCTACCGTTGCAGTGATCTGTTAAAAAAAAAAAAAGAAAATTATCTGATTAGGTTGTGCCTCTTCTACAAGCTATAAAAACGTAAACTATGTGTTGTCATAGAAACGTCAACGCTTTTATTCAATGTCATGTACGTTAGTTACTTCACAACGGGTTCACGCCGTACCCCAATCGTCTGCGTATATATAAAAGTAAGAAAAACTCTGGGACGCGGAAGGCAGCTCTTTCAAGAACAAGTTCGAAAAAGTGTCTTCGGAAGAGAAATGGCCTTAAGCTAAATTGTGTTCTTCCTTAAAGTTCACACCGTTCCTTTCATTTCATGGCGTTTCAAGGTGCTTTCTCTCCAACTGAACGTGAGGTGATGAGATCCACCGATCTTTCACGCACCATCTTTCAAAATAGGTTGCAACTTGCGGGGCGGCCCACAGCTGACAACTGTTCTAGATTTCTGTATACAGGTGTGTACATCAAAAACAATTGATATCCACTTGTGTTCACTTTTAAATTTACGCATGAACCCATTTCACTAAATCAAAAGCAATGTCCCAACGACCTCAATAGTTTTGGGGCCAAAGGCTTTCCCCATCTAATCCTAGCAACAAGCTTCATTCTGCTAACTTCTGTTATGCTTCTCTGGAATTCAGTTTCCATATAGGGTAATCTTCAGAAGCGAAGGCAGTTTTCCTCACAATTGGTGTTTAAGTGCTTGTCATGAAATAGGACTAAATAAATTATATATCAAGACGACAGCTAAAAGAAAGGGGTCGAGGTGAGCTACTGAAAAGCTACCTTTACTAGAAGTTGAAAACGCTGAACATAATATCATCTGCATGTCGACAAGACGCTATGGTTCCTTTTGACAAGATAAACACAAATCAACATTAACAAAAAAAAATTGCATTAATAACATGTCATTGGGAAATATATGTGATATAAGAGCTAGATATGTACAAGATAGCGCCATGTACGACGTTATAGATTTTCTTGTCACCGTTTTCGTTTTGAAGGCGATATGAAATATATAGACAGTAATTACCGAACGTTGCAGGAGAAAGGTGTGCTTGTGCCGCAGCTCAAGTCCTAAAAAGTCACTTGATTCACCCCAAATACATACATACTGAAAAATGATTAATAGCACCACTGCTTGCCGTTTCGCTCATACATAGCATTGTCAGCCAAAGAGCAGGGCAAACATTCACTTGAATCGTAGATTTCAGACGCCCACCACTAATGGCCAAGGCACGGTTACGTACGTGGCACCTATATAGTTTACGAGACCAATTAATGTCTTGATCAGAGTCAGTCGAATCGCACTCATTACCAAGGAATACCTCGAGCCTTGAAAATGACGAATATTATTATCAGAATAATAATGCTTGTGATGAAATTAGGTATGCACTTCGCTTTGAAGACTATCTTGAGCAGTGAAGAGAGTGGCATTATAATCTGGTGATAGCTAAATCTTCCCACTTCAACAGAACCATTGGATAGGCCATTTCAGTTACGAGTGACATAACAACAAGGAGTGATTACTTTGTGCGTGTTCGAGCGCTGAAAGCTCTTTTACACTTTATCGATCAGTCGGGGGAGCGTCGGACAAAAATAGCTGAATTGGCAAAATTAACTAATCAGAAACAGCTAGACAAATATATACTAGTTAACTAAATGCACAACTCCCAATGAGAAGCGACTGGTTTAGACGAGATCCAAAAATGTGTTCAAAAAAAAAAAGTTTGGCTGCTGTGGAAACCAGGCGACAATGCCCCCGCTTATATCGCATCAGATAGTCCCCTGTAACTGGAATAATGTGAGTACTAGTTTCGGTTACCCAGAACCGTACAGCGATAGAATAATATGTCCTACTGGCAGGCTTGATGTACGCAACGTGCAGTCGAATAAATACGACCTTTTTGGTCATAGCGAAAACGGCACGATACTTCCAGAGGTTCACGGCCATGACGCCTATGCTTTGTGGAAAAGTTGAGAGGTGACCGAAATTTTATTGTACTATCACTGGGTCTCGATGGTGGCTCATACCTGTTGTTACGTTGTTGCGATTTTATGAACCCTAAAATAGATATCTGTAATCGAAAATCTGACTTCGTATCTCGATATATCGATCGATCGATCTTGTATTAACGGCGCTCGTGTGCAAATCCTGATAAATATTCTTAATAAAATGATGTATCGTGATACTGATTTGCTTCGTTTCATATTAAATTGACATCAATTTATGTGCGAATTTCGTCAGTCACGTTTGTATCGTCGTTTAGGGTATCCGCACCTCCCACCCTTTTCTCAAAAGACATTTCATAATACTTATGAAATACTAGTGTATTTGTATAGCTTCTCAGATAAATTCAGAGGAACGGTCGTTATAGAATTCGCAGAATCAAAAGCTCTTTAGTAGCATTTTTGATATCTAGACATTTTAAATGATAAACACGTCCTCTGGTTGGTGACTAGATTAAATATTTCGAGTTTTACACGCGGTGCTGCCATGGGGCGTCAATTTTTGGAATAAAGAAATTTATTATTAACACGAAGCTCTATGTTGGAGTATCGGATAAATAAATAAAATACCGAAGGATATCTTGGGTCTTATTACACTGATTTTCACAAAATGATGACCAATTTGCTAGAAACCTCTATTTTTATAGGTCTTGCCCATCAAAGCTATATATGAATGCATTGTTCTCAAAAAGCTGATAAAACCGCGTTACGCCCCAATTTCGATCTTGACATATAACTTTTTATGTGATTATTGCAGTGACAGCTTTGTACTATTCACAGTATTAGTGAAGTAACAGTATCAAAGAACTGCGAAAGGAAGGACGTTAATTACTTTCCTCTGGTTACTTGAACCCAAAACAGATGTTTCAAAAATACCAAGTTTGACTTGAAGCCCTTTACTCATAACGCTCCCCCATGTTCGTAGCCGATCACCAGTTGATCCGTAGTTGGATCGAATATATTTAAGTGGCATTCAGGTCAGCCGCTTAAGATCACTCTCAAAACAAAATGAGCCTGCTATCTCGTTATTCCTATAGATTTTGTTGGTTGACAGTTAGGTATAGCCTTGAACCATCAGCATGTTGTTATTTTCGTAGCTTATCGCTACGATAGCGACTTGCAGTGCCGTTCCATGCTAGTTTCAATAGGACAGACGTTGAAGACATCATGATTTTATGATTGCTGGCGGACGTACAACGAGGTGCCGAATAAAAAAACCTTTGAGTTTTAAGAAATCCGTTAAAATGTTCTTGATTAAGCCAAGATAATTTCCTTCGTTACCTTGAGGTGTTATACTTGGTTTATTTACTACATAACAATTATCGTTACGACTGGGTATAAGGGTGTGCCACAGAACATATCTATACAGTCTCCTGAAGACCAAGCTCGCATAATTGCTGCAGGCCGTATCCTAGGAGTAAACTCAAGTTTAAATTCGATTGCCTTTTAAAAGAATAATTAAGAGGATTATAACTCCTGGAGGATTGAACATGGACCCCACGGTTGGAGTTCTGGTAGAACGATGAAGCTCTTTAAATAGATAGAGGCTTTTTATAGATTCTCAGGTTAGCGAATAGTACTACGGGCGTTCCGGCCTTTCAGTTCTCATTATGCACAGTAAGCCTCATCTTGCTAAAATTCTATGTACAGAGCGCTTTAGGAGCCAATCGGCTTTGAAAACAATGACAGAAGCCATTAGAGCTACGACTATTCCAGGTTAAATATCAAAAGATGGAAGACAAGTCCTTTAGACAAGTTTATGATTTTTCTCGCATCAGACTAACGCCACAACTCGATGTACGTTTACATGCACAAGTTATGAAGGTATTAATGCAAGACAACTGTATGGTCGGGACGCGTTTCCTTTGCCACGGTCTCTTCAATGTGGCGCATACCGTTCTTGAAACCAATCTCTCCGCAGGAGCTTTGGGACTGCCTCTGCTTCAAATTTTCCCTGTTATCGGCACTACCTCAAACAGTACGAAATTCTTCCCATTCACCATCTGCCGGGAGTAAGCCGAAATCTTCAGGACTACTTTGGATTCAGTAGACTCGTTACTGAACTGCCCGAAACAGGAATTCTTGATCAACAAGATGGCGTCGATTTCCATCAGTGGATGCCTGACTGGATAATCCCGTTTATCGGATGGAGATCTGGTTTGCAACTAGTAGTATCTTATCTGCTAATAAATTCCCCAATGTTAAAAAACGGCTCGATATAAAGGTTATACGTGCTGCGAAAAATATACTTATCGATAATGACTCGCGTCAAGATGTAAAGGATGCGCTCTACGGATTACCCAGACAGAGAATAGATTTAAGAATGGTTTCAATTATCCAACCTTTGACCAGTCGTTGAAAGGTGCGATTAGCAAACACCAAGGCACAGCACATCTGCTTGTTGATTCGAAGTTCTCTAGTTATCCTACCGATCCTCAGACAGCCGTCAGTGCGGGCAAACAGATGGGGCATGTAATGCATTCAAAGCATAGGTGAAGAAGAACTCTTTTTCTGATGAGTATTTCGGATGTCTGGCGATCCATTAGCATCTTCCTGCGGAACGTATACTATAGAACAGGTCGACGACCCAATGGCAGTTCTTGATGGCCGAAACAAGGTATGCGGCCAAGAGCAAAGGGTTTACGTGTAGCCGACGCTTGGACAATGTCTGTAGTTACTGCAGATCATTTAAACGCGTCGGCTGTTTTGGTCGATAGGAAAGCTGGCCGTCTCCTTTTAAAGGGCCGCAGCGATGTACCTTATGAACCTGCTAATCATTCGATCTCGATAGATTTGTGCAGACTGATATGATGGCTGTTTATGCGATATTTAAAGCAGATCTACATT